TCCTCGAGAGCCTGACGAAGCTGATCTTCGGTATATTGAGGCATTATATATAGAAGAAGACATGTGCAAAAGATGAGCCCATTTGGACGCGAATTGAAAATGTTGTGATAAAAGGAGGTTGGGGGTGGGCATTGGGTTGTGGTGGATTTTCGCGTTTTTGTGGGTGCCAGAAACAGGGGGGTGCCAGGAAGTGGGTATGTTGACTTAGGTGGCCGAGTCCATACCTATAAGACGACCTAGCAACGAAAGAACCATGTTGCTTTGAAAGTCATCTTCAGATCCCTTTTCCTCAAGTATTCCACTCAGCTGCTCCAAAATGACTCGGCATCAACAGTGTCGAAGACATCTTCGTCCTCAAACTCCTTATCCTCCCCGTCCATCCCGTCTCCGATAGCCTTACTAGTGTTGCTGCTGCTTTGATTGCCACCGTTCTCGATGGCCTCCATTCGCAAGACGAACTCCTCTCGAAGACGGATCAGGTAACTTCTCATCGATGAATCATCCATTTCTGAGTTTTTCACCTGTTTGAGCTGTTCGTGAAGATTAAGTATCAGCTTGCGTCGGTTGAGCATCTTCCTCGCTTGAGAAGACTGCTTATTCTGTTCCCTTCGTTGATGCAGTGATATAGCAACTTCCTCGGCAACGTCCAGGAACCGTTTGGGAAATGCCATTGCCTTCGCAAGTGTGATGCCATAGAGCAACTCCTCAGTCTTTCCCGACTCAACTTTGTACATCATAGTTAACTTGGGTACGTTATTGTCCGTCGTCGAAACCTGCGTGACGAGACGAAGATTCAGCACTCCGGGACGATCGGCTAGGACGTCGGCTAAGGCATATTGAGTCAGCTCCCGACCAGGTCCACCTGTAGCGAAGTCAAGGGATTGTGACAGGGGACCTACCAAGCTCTGTGAAGTGAGTTGCAAACCACACAATGGCACGGCTCTGTATAAGGGCTTCGGCTATGGCGATCGCGATAGCAAGTCCATCTCGAGTGCTTGTGGCTCGACCTAGTTCATCTATGATGACGATGCTCTTGTGGGTGACATTGCTTGGGCACGTCAGTACTGGAACCTCTCCTGCGTCAATACTACGTACCTAAGGATGAAAGCCATCTCTCTCATCTCAAGCGAGAAGCTTGACATATTGGACTCGATATTGTCGTTGGTAGTCACCCGAGCGAAGATATTGTGTACAATGGGAAAACTGGCGTATTCAGCAGGCACGAAGCAGCCAATTTGTGCCATGATCTGGAGCAGAGAGATACTCTTGATGTAAGTGCTTTTCCCGCTCATATTGCAGCCGGTCACAATCTGGAAACGGTGCTCCTCGGTAGCGTAATAATCATTCGGTACAAAGCCACCCTTCAGAGTCTGCTTACGATCAGCATGTGTTGAGGCAGCCAGTGGGTAGGCCAAACCTTGTCCATGATGGGATGCCTAGCAGCTTTCAGCGCTAGAGTATCTGATATTTCCGGTCTTCTCCAATCGAAGGTCGAACTTGCCTGTGCAAATGACGCAATCATGTCGAGCAGTGCGATTGAATCGCAGACGCGGTAGAGGGGCTGCAGTTGAGTCCGGATGCTGTCGATGAGGTCCTGAATAACCTTGTCACTCAGCATGACCACTTCCGCAACGGAGTCGGTGATTCTCTGGTTCAGTTTCTTGAGATGCATTGTGAGACATTCGATGTAACGACCCCTCATCGTCCGGTTGACAAGCACAGCAGGAATAGCCCGGTCCTCGAAATCCACTGCTCGCATTCGGAGGCTGTACTTGCGCCCGTTATCAAACCGTAGGATAGCTTCGATACTATGCTCGCCTGCAATCTTTGTTAGAATGAGGAGTGGACGGTGGGGGAGGGTCAGCTCAATTACGATTCAGCTCTTCAACATGTTTATGGACGTCATCGGTGTTTTCCTTATAGGCTTGTCTCGCAACATCGAGAAGCCCGTTGATTCCAGGCTGCTGCATTGTTAGCCAATTTTCAGTATCATTGACCGCAAAGCCACTTACTTTGACCGCAAAAGTTCTTTGATTTCGTAGGTCTAGAGCGCTTTTGACATAATGAACATCCTCATGAATATTCTGGTACACAAGCTCTCTGGCGGCTGCAGTCAACTCTGGCTGGCAGAGATCTCTGATTTTGGTGAGAAGAGGGCACGTGGCAGGGCCTAGCGCCTGGAACACTGGTGGAACGGCATCTATGAAGGTCTTGACCATCAGAACATGATTGATTGCTCTTTCTGACGCCTCAACGGACGGTTTGTTAGGGATGATGACAAGCTATCCCAGTCAGCAGGGCCTGGAAGATATCAGCAGTTATCGTGGTTCGGTACCTTGGTCAGCATGCTCTCGACATCAGGAAAAGCCTTCAAAGCTGCACAATCTTAGTCAGTCGCCGATGACAAAAAGATGGGAGAATCGAACCTGTTCGGACCTCTGCAAACATGTCTTGATTTGCAAGAAGTTCCTCCAATGCAGCAAATCTTGGCTCAAGGTATGACTCTTTTAGTGTAGACGGCTGCAGTAGATTACTTCGAAGTACCCGGCCGCCCATGGGCGTCAGTGTATGCTTGAGAACACCGTAAAGGCTGTCGCTAGACGCCGCGTGGCGTCGATTTTGCAGGATCTCGAGAGACATGATGGCAGATACGTCAATCATCATTGTATCCTCCGAGGGCTGGTAACGAATGCGAAGAGAGTGTGGAACAACACGCACGGAGAACTCGGTCTCCAAGAAACTCATAGCCTTTACGTAAAGTCAGTGATTATGCTAGCGTGGATTTCCGAGGATACTTCTACCGCGGCAAATGAGCAAGTTGCATAAAAGCTGCCTTCGATAGCAACTTTTACAGCTTCTGCGTCTTCTCGGAATGCGAAGGTTTGAATACGATTGAGCCCATCCATCTCTGACCAGTACTTTCTATCAAGAGATGTGATCTTTGTATCTGGCATATGTTCCTCGATATGGCTGTAAAGCCTCGACTTGGGATTCGGGGGGCAGCACGAGCTGACGATCAGGAGATGGGTTGGCTCCATGATCTGAAGTTTGTGGAGAGTGCGAACGAAGAACCTGTTGTCGGAGATTTGGCTGAGGATGGCTTCTCCGGTATCAACGTTGAAGAATACAATTCCAACAGCAGGAGTGATTCCGCGAGCCTCGCTCAGGGCACACACAATGGTGTGTTTGGCGCTGTTGGGCAGAAAAGGGGTTCGCGACGTGCGACTAGTGTGGGAAGTGCTCGGCCGGGTCGTACGAGGTCTCGATATAGTACCACTAGTATCAGTACCGTAGTCGTAGCTTGGAGTGTAGTAAGAACTAGACACAGGATCTTCCGCTGAGGATGGTATCGGCGTTGCCGTGTAGGAGTCTTCTCTCGGATTTGCTGAGCTTGTGCCCGTTCTTGAGGTTGTCTGGGGGAAGTAAGGAGACGCCCTTCCGTATGGTGCTGGTGTCTGAGAAGGAGTGGTCATGTAACCAGTCGAAGGTCTCGACGGCCGCAAGTATCGAGGATCCATCTTGTGGCGATGTGGACTACATCAGCCGAGATACTGGCGGTCTCGCAGTTCAGGATATATTTGGTAGACTACAGTGATGGGAGGTGAGGCTTCAACTAGCAGAACAGATCGGGATTATCCTTACTCGAAAGAAATAGATGGGGCGTCGTTGAGAAGAATCGAAGAACCTCATACCAAGATCGCAGCAACGGGCAACAGCTCCTGCCTGACTTACACGGGCGAGCCGGGGTTGCCCCGGTCTTATCAGGAGTGGAGCCACAAGCACTAGCCACATAACCATCGGATGCACAGCCACTAAAGTAATGAGATGTCGGCCGGTGGAGTCAAGTCGTCATCCCCACGGCCCTGACACGCCAGGAAGAGTTTGCGACAGGCTTGGAAAACCAATCCGCACAGGAAGCCAAACCGCGTCGCGCCGCGACACCACGACTCGAACTGCCCATCTCGACCGACACCGATCCGGGACCAGGCTTTTGAAGCCATCGCGACATTGGTGTTTAGTCGCCCCGCCCCGCCGTCAACATGTTCGGCATCCTGGGCGCCCGCGACCGCAGCGACGGCACTGAGGAATATGCCTCGTTCGACGAGCTCTTCGCAGCGCTGAAGACGCGCATGCAAAAAGATGGGTACAAGGTCGTCAAGTCACGTACCCATCGAAACAAGGTCGGCGGCACCTACGAGAAAGGAAGCGAGGTTGTCAGATGTGATCTCGTCTGCGATCGTGGTGGCCAGCCTTACAAATGCACAGCGACGCAGCTGAAGACATCCACCAAGAAGACCAATTGCCCTTGGAAGGCCAAAGCCGTCAATCGTAAGACGCTGGGGAAATGGATCTTGACCATCATATGCAGCGAACACAACCATGAAGCGCGTACGCCCGACCCGCCGACCGATGAGGAGGATGCTGATGCGGAGGGAGATGCCGACGTCGTTCAGGACGTATCAATTGGTATGCCTCTTACCCCGGTGCAATCCGTTGTTGCTTGCTAACCTTCCTAGTTCCGGAAGTGCAAAACTCTGGTCCGGCGCCAGATCCTACAACAGCTGCCCTCCTTCTCATGGTGGGAGCCGCTCCCAATACGATGCGACTTACCGGCGAGACCTTTCACAACTTCAAGTCCGAGTACCGCAAGATGTCGAAACCTGAACGCCTGGGTATACTAGCCCAGATGCAACTGCGCATCGCAGCCATATATGCCGTCGAGAACGAGGATATGCAGAGACAAGAAAGGCAGGCTAGGCAGGAGAAGAAGCATCAAGAGATCGAAGAAAGCCGACGCAAATCGCAAAGCACACAACAGCCGCAGCAGCAGCAGCAGCAGCAGGTACCACAGCAGCAACTACCACAACCACCGCCCCAGCAGCAGCAACAGCACCAACAACAGCAACCCCCTCAACCGCAACAACAGCAGCAGCATCAGCAAGTGCAACATCAACAATATCAACAACATCCCCAACAGCACCAGCAGCAACAAGTACAGAATCATAATCTTGGCCACAATCATGGCCATAACCACACTCGGGTTCAGCAGCAGATGAACCAGATGTCCCGGGATGGCATGGCTGGTATGCCTAAGCACCCGTTTGAGCAGACAACCCACGACGAGCACGCGCAGTATAGAGATCGGCAAGCTGAGATCGAGGAGCGCAACCAGAGGACGATGCAGATGCGCGGGCAGCACCTTAACAACACCTTCCAGCAGCAGAATGCTGTCCAACAGACGCCTATTCCTGTGCCTCAATTCGGCATGCAGTCGGCGCAAGGTCAGCCGCAAGTGTTCCATCAGTACACTGCGACTCCTACGAATAATGCAATGTCAAAGGGAGCGTCAAGTGCCACGCCGGCCACAGGCTCAAAGAGGCGTGGCCGGCCGAAGAAGACAGCTATGGACCAGACACTCGACCCCAGCCTTCACATGGGAAGATAGTCGCCGCTTGTGCCGTTAGTCATTGGAAGAAGAGGAGGGGAGATTGTGTATGATGAGCTTGAGAGGGCTCAGTGTGTGTAATGTGTAAGAGGGTTACAGATACCCTACCGGATGGAGGAACTGGGGCATGGCGTTTATAAGGATACCAGCGCAGCAAGCTGACCCGGACATACTTAGTTTTCTTCTCGCTGAAAAAGCACAGTTCCGGGAGAGAGCTGCCAGGATGGCTCTCGGAGTTTGTTCATCGTCTGAACTGGGGGTCATTTTTATCTTGTCAATGCCCGCACTAACAGACAACATATTGTTTCTCCACTTGCAAATGCTAGCGATGACATTTTTTTAGACCGTTGTAGTGGGGGCGTCGCAACCACGGGCAATTTTTGACCGATGGTCCCTGGTCCACCGTCCCGTCTGCGCATCAAAATTTCTGCCCCACCTTCCCGCATCGCCGTAATCGAAATATTTCTGACAATTTCAAAGACCAAAAAACGACTATTTTCGAGCAGGCGGTCAACCGACGCAACAACCATGGCGACGGTACTCCCCCCGCCCTCGAAGCGTCAAAAGCGCGAGACGCTCGAGAAGACACAGACTCAGCAAGATGTCACAGCAATGGCTCCGGGCCTTGAGGGCTCTTTTAAGGCCCGCTTCGTTGATGGCGACGGACAGCAGCTGGCTGAGGTGATCGAGGTGCCCCTCGCCGACGCTTCTGAGAAGAACTTGACTCTCCTTCTCAACACCTTGCAAGGAAAGGTCAGTCATATACTTTCTGTTGGCAGTTCCGTATACGACCGTTGTCTAACCCCCAAGACAGGATAGAGAAGACTTCCTCCCGTACAAGTTCCGAATCCACATCCCCGACACAGATATCATCGTCGACCAATACCCCACCAACCTCCTCGAGCTCCTTCGCAGCCATGGCGTCGCAAACCCCTTCGAAACAACAGTCACTCTTAGTGCCGAGCCCCAGGCCGTATTCAAGGTGCAAGCCGTCACCCGCATGGCCCATCGCATCCCAGGTCACGGCGAAGCCATCCTCTCAGCCCAGTTCTCCCCCGAGACCAGCAAGAGGTTAGCAACGGGCGGTGGCGACAAGACAGCTCGTATATGGGATACCGAGACAGGCACCCCGAAGTTCACACTCTCGGGCCACTCCGGCTGGGTGCTCTGCGTTGCGTGGTCCGCCGACGGCCGCCGCCTCGCAACGGGCAGCATGGACAAGACGGTTCGCCTCTGGGATCCGGATAAAGGCGTCGCTGTCGGCCAGCCCCTATCTGGCCACGCAAAATGGGTCACTGGAATCGCCTGGGAACCCTATCACCTCTGGCGCGACGGCACTCCCCGCCTGGCATCCGCCAGCAAGGACGCGACGGTGCGCATCTGGGTCGTCAACACGGGTCGGACAGAGCACGTCCTGTCGGGGCACAAGAGCAGCGTCAGCTGCGTGAAATGGGGCGGTACTGGGCTCGTCTACACGGGTAGCCACGACAAGACGGTCAAGGTCTGGGACTCGGTCAAGGGCACTCTCGTGCACACGCTCTCCTCACACGCCCACTGGGTCAACCACCTCGCCCTATCTTCCGACTTTGCCCTAAGAACGGGCTTCTTCGACCACACTCCCACGCCGGAGACGGAGGAGGCTCGCCGCGCTAAGGCTAAGGAGCGCTTCGAGAAGGCCGCCAAGATCCAGGGCAAGGTGGCCGAGCGCATCGTCTCGGCTAGCGACGACTTCACAATGTACCTCTGGGACCCGTCACAAGGCACCAAGCCCGTGGCGCGTATGCTGGGTCATCAGAAGCAGGTTAACCACGTCACTTTCTCCCCGGATGGCACTCTCATCGCCAGCGCGGGCTGGGACAACCATACTAAGCTCTGGAGCGCGAGGGATGGCAAGTTCATCAACACGCTGCGCGGACACGTCGCGCCTGTGTACCAGTGCGCCTTCTCCGCCGACTCGCGGCTGCTTGTGACGGCATCAAAAGATACCACGCTCAAGGTGTGGTCCATGGCGACGCACAAGCTGGCTGTAGACCTTCCGGGGCACCAGGATGAGGTGTATGCCGTTGACTGGAGTCCCAGAGATGGCCAGCGCGTGGGCAGTGGTGGAAAGGATAAGGCTGTGAGGTTGTGGTGTCATTAAGGGGGCAAGGTTTTGCGCGTCTCTGCTGCGCGAAGTTGGGCAACTGCTGCAATGCGTGGTCGTGCGCATATGATGGATGGGTTTTTGGCAACTAGAATACGGATACACAAAAGAGAATATACCCCATTTGTTCCCAAGCTGTCCATGCCTTATCTCACGAATTTTGCCTTGGCCTGCATTGCTAGACATCTTGAACCACCCCGCTCGACGTCGCAGGACTGTGTCGTTGGGCACTGCATATTCGCCTCAATCTGACGTGAACTATACCAGATAAACTCTACACCTAGACCAGTTGTTCATTTCGTAAGCGTTTGTCAAAAGCCAAACTACGTTTCTGGAATGGTGACACAAGTTTGCCTTTCTGCTTTGCCCAGAGCATGGGCCATTACATCCAGCATCACCCCGGATGGCCAAGACTCAATGGAAGAATCTCCTCCGCAGACTTGTTTGATCTGCACAGCATTAAAATAAATGACCGCCGTCTACCGGCGACCTAAGAATAGGCCCTTTTAAGCCAAAAGCCTCGGTCACGGGAGGATAGGTTCCCAATCTCAACCAAGGACCCCAAAGGAAACTACCTTAAGCCAAATACTTACGACTTCCAACTACGCAATGAACAGCAAGGATGAGGGGGGAAAGGCGTCGGAGGCTGGGAGTAGTACGAAGCTCACGACAGCCTCGTTTCTCAAATGCATCCAAGATGTAACCTCATACTCTTTCGAAAGTGAAGATGAGCGCATGCAAGCACTCCTCGGAACATACGCTCTCATGGCGCGTCTAGAATCTCCATGGGAGACTTTGGTAAGGATCTGTATGACACAGGTAAGAGACGGACTCCAAAGTCAATCGACTTCTTCCAGCTCCCTCCAGTAATTCTGACAAGACGTAGCCGGCCCTTGGCGCAACTTTGAAGATCCTGAAGGACCTGCAACTTTTTGAGAAATGGCAAGCTCAGAACGACGAGGCGATGACGAGTTGCCAGCTTGCTGAGCTGTTGGGAGGGACTTGTGATCCTGCGCTACTCTGTAAGTCTTCCTTTCATCTCGTAAAGTTGACAATGTCTTACGGTATAGACCGGTTCCTACGTCTAATGGCATCGAATCATCTTCTTGAAGAAACCTCTGTAGGTGTCTTCAAGCCGACCTCATTCGGAGTTGCCGTCACAGCACCGGCATTCGACAGTCTAATCCACAGCTTGTGGGAACTTTCCCTGCATCATCTTCTAGAAGAACGTCCCTAGGCTAACACTCTCAAGCAACGACACAATCCTCCCAATGTACGCCAAAATGCCAGAATACTTTTCAAAAACGGACTACACCAATCCGCAAGACTCCTCCTACACCGTCTTCCAGTACGCGCACAGGTGGGACGGCGATCTATGGTCCTACTACCAAGCTCACCCCAAACAGCAAGAGCAGTTTAGTACTATTCAGCAGACAATCTCAGGACTACATCCTGCATGGACAGAGATCTTCCCGGTCGAGAGACTGATGGAAGGAGATGACGCTCGGACGCCTTTGCTTGTGGATGTTGGCGGGAGTACCGGGCACGATGTACTCAAGTTCCACTCCATCTATCCAGAGACAGCCTCCCGATTGTATCTCGAGGATTTAGGGTCCGTGGTAGAACAAGCTGTCTTGCCTGAGGGAGTACACGGGGTTTCATACGACTTCTTTACACCACAGCCGATAAGAGGTGAGTTGATTTACCCTGGTTTGTAGGCTAGAACTCACCACTCACACATGCGACAGGAGCAAAAGCATACCTACTGCACTCCATACTCCACGATTGGTCCGACGCCCCAGCCCGCAAGATCCTAGAAATTCAGAGAGACGCCATGACGCCCGGATCCAGCAAGTTACTCATCCACGATAACATTGTCGAAACGGCTCTAGCACATCCGCAGACAACCGCCTTCGATATCCAGATGATGGCCATGGTCGCCGGTCAAGAGCGGACAGAGGATCAGTGGAGGGAGCTTATCACCTCGGTTGGATTACGTGTTGTCAATATTTGGAGGTTGAAGTCTGCTGTGCATAGCATCATTGAAGTCTCGAGATAGACGTAGTGGGTATTCCGAACCTAAATGTATGAGTATTCCGTTCTTGCCTAGTATATTCCCGTCTGAAGGTATATACCCCCCCTCAACTCCATTCCCGTCACCAGCCAGCAGGCGCCCGTCTAGGTCGACGGGTCAGGTCAAACTGGCTGGGTGGTGGAGTGGTTCATGGTCAGCAATTAAAATCGCCAACCAGCCTACTCGACGACAGGCTTAGCGCATACGAGTACCCGAGTTCGAATCCCAGCTTGAGCACCAAGAGATGTAGCCACACCGGTGGTGAACTCTTTTTTGCTCTTTCCCATTTCTTCAATTGTCAAGTGCTGATTTCTGTTTCTCGGTGTAGTACTATGATTGGGAGGCAGAACCTCGGTGGTATCTCATGGGCGATTGCCAGCCGTTGATGAGGACATGAAAGCACTGCATCTGATTTAATTCTGTGCCTGAATAGTATTTCCCCCAGAATTAAACCTATTGCAGCTTGATGTTATATATAACAGTCCCTGTATGGTTGGCATTCTCTCGTCTCCAGCCTGGACTATGTACCTCAGGATAGAGCACCTAAAGCACCTCCATGTTAGCATCATCATCTCGTGCTACAAGCGTAGCCAGAGATAGCTCAGCTGAAGGATGACCACGACAAACAGACTTATTATGACTGCTGATGAAATAGCGTCTAGCGAGTTCACACTTGCTGTAAATCCAAGCCAGCCTTCAAACCCACTCGCTCTCCCGAATAGCCTCAACCCACACCGAACTCAGTCCCACTCCATCCATCCGAACTGTATGTCATCGGCCCCATCTACGGACTAACGGGATCCTGAAATCGGAGCATAATCGCGGAATCTAGTCGGGAGTCGGGACAAAGGGAGCGGGGGAAAACAAGTCATGGCAATGATTTGTAGCCGAACAAGCCGGGAGATCAGATCAGGTTGTTTCCCCTTAGCCGAGGTCTTACCGTGGATACAGGGCAAGTCCACAATAGGGTGACTTCACAAGATCGAGGACACAATCAAGACAGCTCATGTTAGTCGTGAGATTCAGACGTACTGTATTGCCGATGTGTCATTGTCGTCGAATGTTGAGCAACACGATTTTTGCCTTTGCATGCAGCCCAGGCATTAGCAATGATCACCATATACCCACCACACTGATCTACGTGTAGGATGTGCGCTGGCGGGAATTAAACCGCCATCACTCAACCGCAAGGACAGCAATGACTTGTTGCTACATCCCAACATCCCTCAGACCTCGTAAATTTCGAAGTCAGGAATGGAGATAGACGTGCTATTCGCCATGTGTACCTGTGGTTGAGTGAGCCATGGGATTGAATGCCCTGCATACTGTAGTCTCTAAGCATGGTATCCCATGGCACCAATCAGCAAACACCTAAATATCTGTGTAGGAAGAAGGAGGCTGAACGAAAGCGACAGCACGAACAGGCGTACCGAAGATCCCTCCTAGAGTGAGAATTTTCTGCTGCACGTCGTCGCGGCCTGCATGCGATTGCACCTCTGCGATGGATCCTTGGCATTAGTCCGTCAAACCCGATCGTTCCATCTTTGGCCCGTCCCTCTTCCCCAACAACAGCTTATCATGTATCCTAAAGAAAGAATATGTACTGCCTTACGTCCTTCTCCGCACCATGGGCAAACGTGACCATCTGAAATCCAGATTGGGCTAGAAATCCCGTGCCGCTGGTGTGCTGATGGGATGTGCATTTGGGCTGTCCCATCGGTTCGTTCTGGCATGAGCATGATGGCATCCCATCGGCGGTACATGGAAGTGCACACTATTTCGTGGCTACCTTACCCAGTGCTATGGCGGAACTACAGGGCCGGGCCGCCCCTAGTAAAAGTATCGAGTGAGGCCAGGCAGCGCCGTCACCGAGTCGAACCGGGGCGTTTGGTGCTTTGCCTGACCGGCGGAGCGCTAATGGAGGTGCATTACTAGTGCTTGAATCTTCAATCCTCAGCTTGACCTCTGAACACTGTCAAAATCCGGACAGAGTGTCAAACGGATGATCCTGGAACATCGGGGAGGGATTCAAATGTTCCTTGTTGGACCGACTTGACACGGAGTGACCAAGATCCGGCTGAGCTGTACTTCGAGCCCAGGGCCTGGGATGGTGGCTTCGAACGAGATGGGCGGGGAAATTCTATCATATATGATGTTTCTTTTTCCGTGTCTAGACAAGGGGGCATATGCCAAGCGGCTGGTTTGCGGTTGGCGCCTAGAGAGGAGAGGCATGATGTGGCGGACAGTCAAGCAATCGACTAGCTGTTCACAGTCACCTCAGCGGTGCCTTGTTCGATCAAGTTGATTCTGAGACGCGCTGGGCGCCGAAGGGATGATTCTCTGCCGTCTTGCATTCAGCCTATAGAACCAAGAAGGACTGAGTGTCCACTGCACCATCGGGATATACCGGCGCGTGCTATCGAAGTGGTCGGCGATGTAGTAACAATGAGGGTGTCCAGAAAGACTTGAGAAGTTTAGATCGAAGGAATAGAACAGAAATGGGGTGCAGCGCGGCTGCGGTTGATGTGAGGGGAACATGTCGTTTGGACTGGGGTCTCATTGTGTGGGGAAGGATGGGACATCGATTTGGAGTTGAAGTGAATCAAGCTGTGGATTTCTCCTGTGGATTGTGTTGTGGGATGCCACGAGGTTGACATGAAAGCTTTGACTGGAGGGAAGACTTCATGTTCGAAACCAGTCCTTTCGCCCCGAGGTTGATTGGGCCGCTACAACTCTCAGAGTCACAGCCACTTCGGCTGAACGGCCGCTGTTGAGGCATTTCTTACTTGGTGATATTTGGTTCTGGTGCCCAACCTATACATTGACAAGCAAAGCGGTTAGCGATAGGAGAGACTCACAGCCGAGCTTATATTGCCGTACTAGTTGCCGATCGGCGTTGCAGTGAAAGGCCTGCGAGTGCGTCGACCCTTGGCAATGGCATATTGCCCAACGCGAATGGCACTGTTGTGAATGTGTGGACTAACAACTCCAGGGACCAAGGCTCAGTAATATCGCGCTTTGGTTGTGGCTGCATCGTGAAGAATGGTAAGCAGGAACAAGGGGGCCAATGTCGCTCCTCAACTAACTCCCGAGGCCTCCAAAGAATTCATGGAGGTAATGATGAGTCGACACACCAGTACAGGCCCCCAGGTGCGCTGCATGATAGCCCAGACTTGTAGCAACACGCGTCCTGGTTCAGGTTCGGACCTCTCGGTGCTCTAGGCTGTCGGGCCCTCGCCGTCTCCGCCTTGTTGGGGCAGACGAGTTTACGGCTTGCCTGGATATCTGCTGGCGAGTCGCTCCTTTGGGACTGTTGCAGGAAGCACATGCTTCTAAGGATGACTGTGAGAGTGGGCGATAGCCTGAACGATGATAGGGCCTGTAGAGGGTAGACATGGGTTCCTGTGGAATTTCTTCATAAGACGCATCCTGACGGAACCCGACAACCCAGAGCGAAGTTTCCCCGCGCCGTGGTCTCTCCGAACCTCAAGATCGAAGTGGGCACTGTTGAGCCACACCCGCTTCGGTGGATGAAGGTGGATGGGAAGCTGGGCCGAACTGGCCGGGTGATTGACTAGATCTTTGAAGATGGAGACAAAGTTGGGGCTCTCCCCGAGTCCCTTTTTAGTTTCAAAGGGGGGCCTCCTGTCACATGAACAAGCTGCTCCATATCAGAATGGTCCATTAAAAGTCTTGAGCGTTGAAGAAACAGAGGGGGAGAAAGGCAGGAGAAATGAAGAAGACAAAAACGTGGAACGCGAGCCCAACTCCACAGGGACCAGGGACCCGGCTAGAGCCAGAGATTCCACCCAAGGCGTAGAAGCATGACATGGGAGCCAAAAAAGAAGAAAAATGTTTGGAAGGTTGCTTTGGCCGCTCGGTCAAACTGCACAAGCTTCAATCAAGACTCTGCTGGTCCCAAGCTGTCTTTTGTTCAGCTTGTTGTAGAGCTCTCCCAACACTGGGCGACACCAACCAGGCATTGCTTGAGAGCCTAAAATGGTGGAACTAAGAGCTTGCATGATGGATTGAGTTTGGGGTTCCGCGTTGCACCAGGTCTAACGTGGGCGACGGAGGCCAGGGGACAAGCTCTCGGATTACCATTGCCGGGGAATATGCGATGTTAGTTCGTGGCCCGTAGTAATGTTTGTTGAAGCTCTCTGGCGGTGGTACGAGGGAGTCTTCCTTGACGGCAGATGGATCAATAACGTAATGCTCCACGACGATGACAAGATCTCAAAGTTGTCTATCGGAGGCGCTGCAGGCGACAAACAGCCGCCCGGAAAATCATTCATCTCAGCTTTGAGGATTTCGTCAGCGAGGCGTGCTTAGACGTGTGGTCAAAGGGTGGCCACGCGATGGGCGGCGAGTGGATGGGTTACCCAGGGTGGCGTATCGTCAATCCAAAGGGTTTTGTTCGTCGTAAGGCGAAGCACCAGGTTATCTCTGAATATCGGGCTGTGCTGGGGTCGCACAAGGTGCATATGCGGCGTCGATGTTGATGTGCAGGCGTGCTGTCTCGTAGAACGACGCTTGTCTGCGCGCCAGGGTGGTGGGCGGCAACGCTCTCAGGGAAGGGAACGTCCTCGCTCGGTAGTACCGCCGAGCTATTGGAGGACCTGGTGATGGCCATGGTGGTGGTGATCGATGCTTCTGCCGAATCTCGTCGGGCAAAACTAAGCGGCGATGTGGTGGCTGGCTGGCAGTGATGATTTGTTGGAACTGCTGCTGAAGAAAGATGAACAAGGTGGTCGTAGTGATGGTTATGATGGTGGTGGTGGTAATTGTTTAGTGTTAGTGTTTGTCTTTTGTTTCCCCCTCATTCGAACCCAAAGGAGAAAAGAGGAGTCAAGGTGAAGGTCAAGAAGAAGAGGGGGCTGCGATGATAGAGACTAGGTGAAGATGTGAGAGAGACGTCAGAAGCGAAAGACTACGTGATGTTGCCAGATCAGATGTGATGCTTTCCGGATGTTTCTTGTAGCAGC